GCTGTTTTATGATGTACTTACCTTGCAACAGAACTTGTCGAATATCAAAAAGAATGCTGTTTTTCAGTTGAGAGCTCATGGTGAGCTTCTAAAATGTGTAAAATAAGAACTATTTAGTATTATAAGCAAAAATATATTCCAAGGGGCTGTTTTTGACACTCGTATTAAAGCATTAGTTCATCCAAAAATTACAATTTTGTACTTAATTACTCACTCTCATGTCTTTCTAATCCCCTCCCCTGAGATCTTCATTCATCTTCAGAACACAAATCAAGATATTTCAGATGTAATCCTGGAGCTCCCTCATACTCTATATACAGCAATGGCCCCGAGATGTTTGACATTGACAAGGAATCAAAAACATGATCCAAACTTTCCATTTCACTTCAATGATTGATCATACGAAGCTCCAAGAACACTTTTGTGAGCCAAAACAACTTGTGAACAATGTCTTCTCTCCCGCATCAAGTCAGGGTGAGTGTTTACTACAGGCAGAATGATGTAGTGCCATTAGAGTCAGCAGCACAACATACAAACATTACCCATAGTAAATATAAACCCTGATCTAACAGAGGAGACATAGGCAAACAAAGTCATTTCTTTAAGACGCACAAAAGGTTTTTGGAGCTTCATATAATTTTTCAAGTCACATGGAATGTTATGACAATGTCTCAGTACCGATGCATACGGAGCTCTAAGATTTAATTGTGTTTGGAAGATGAACGAAGTCTCAGACGTTTGAATGGAAATGAGCATTTAATAACAGAATTTATTAACCACCTTTTCAGAGGTCTCAATTTACTTTGTATAGGGCACACCATAGCTTGGATGGCAGCGTTCACACTTATTTAAATGAACCACACTAAAGAGCAGTTACAGCAAAGTTCAAAAGTGTGAATACACCCTTAAAATCTATTAGGTATTAAAGATCATGTCGTGTATTCCAGCATATAGGGTTCAATTTCAACAGCATTGTTTATTAAATATTGGTTTGACGATTAAAATATTGATAAGCTATACTGTAGATGGGGGTAATCAGGACTCTTGATTTCAATATGATTTTCACAATTCAGGGAATACAGAAATACCTAAATACCCCCAAATGACTGTTTTCCTGTGTGTGTGTGTCAGAGAAAGTGTAATGTATTCTTGCTATAATCAGCTCCAGCTGGGGTCTGGAGGCCTCCGAATGATGAAGAGGGTCCTGAGACTTGCCTTGCTCTCTCTCTCTTTCTCTCTCTCCTACTCCCATCCTCTTTCAGTGTTGTTTGTTTAATCACAGCTGGGGTCTTCAACCTTTTGCAGGCTGAGGAACTCAAGACTTGCCTATACTAACATTCATATAGTATCATACTGTATGTTTACATTACAAAGCCATAGAAATGATCATCACAGAGTCATGTAATTGTATAACTTTGGTTGGCATTAACATACTATCATTTTTTGTTTGATGTATGTTTTCTTTTCTTTTTCCCCACAAAATTACCTCAGTAATTGGCAGTCCTCCAGATGGTTTTATGTCTCTTTCTCAAAGTTTCCACATAGTTGTTCTCCACCCTTCAATCTTATTATCTGTTAGTTATATATGTATATAATTAAGTTCTTATGAATTTCCCCCCACTTACAGCCTTTCCTAAATGGATTTTCCTGGTAATTTTCTGTCTGCTTAATGTTATTGTAAGGATTGCGCAATGATTTAATGATATATTTTAAGTAGTGTTTATTTGAGTCTCTAGCAGAATTGAGACAGAGTTTATAAGATGATAAAAGAGAAAAAGAATGATCAGTCATGTTTTTTTTTTTACTTTAGGATTATAATATTAAATAGACCAAAAACTTATCTTTCCAGGGAATCGCTGTTGTTTTTCTTGACATCTGGCTATTGAGCAATCGCGCTTTTTTTGCCAGAACTTGCTCAAAGCTGCAAGTAGAGTAAGATTTCCTGAGAATGTGTGTATAAATATGACAAGGCCCTGCTCCAATGCATGTAAATAGTACAGGATGCATCTTGTGCCTTTGAAGAAAGACTGTAATCTTGCTGAGACGTGCAGAACATGCTCAAATTCCTCAGTTTTATATAAGCATAGTGTGTGCGAGAGTGTGTTTAGCAAACAGTGAGCGGTGGACAGCAGCACAGTATGATCACCATAGGGGTGAGATTCACAACAAAGCCTTCTGACCTCATAGATTCACAGCTGAGTTACAACTCAGAGGAAACATTGAGGAAAACATTCATATCCTCAGTTTACTGCTCTGCTTCTTAAGACCCACTTAAGACCTCCTTTTCTTGGCATGTGTAAACGGCAGTGTATATACATAGACATACAATAATTGTTTTCAAGGTATACCTCCATTTGGAAAAGTCAAGGTTTTAAAACCGCCAAAATTTTCTGCTATACTGTTCCCAAGGTTTATGTAAGATTTTTTATTTACTTTTTTTGTTGTTGTTGTTTTTTTAGCACAACAGTATTTGCAGCAGAAAAGATCACCAAAAATGGTGTTTAAAATTGTAAAGAAATCTGTGTTTTTGAAATTAAGCCGAAGTCAATGATTTATTTGAATTTTTGAGCCTGACATGTTTACTGCTACAAAATATTATAAATGTTTCAGAATAAAAAGGGTTAAAACATTTCTGCTTTATACCCAGAGCTGTAATCACAATACCGTGATACCGTGAACATTCTATCCAAGGTTAACATACCATCAGAAACTTATACCGGCTCATGCCTATGTATACAGCAGGTATATATGTGTACATAGATGCAATGATCAAAAGTAGAGAACTGGCCCAACTCCTGCTGCAGAAAACATCCACTAAACCATAACAGTTCCTCCTTTACCTTTCACTGACACATTTACACTCTTTGGGATACATAAGGGTCAATGAGAAACAAATGTATTTTGCTTTATTGATGAAGTGAACTTTGGAGCAGTTATCTGTCCACACACCATGCTCCTCCTCAGCAATGATTAGTCTGGCCTTTGATTCTTTCTCCTAATGAGTGGTAGATCTGTTGCAATAATCAATATATCGACTTATCGTGCAATACATGGACATAACCTTACTCATTTCTGCTGATAGATTATATATGACATCTTTCTTATACATGTAAAGGAATGATTTAGATGTTGATGAGCTTAGAACAGTCCTTTAGAAACAATGCTTCCTGACAGATGGGAAATGATGAATTTTCACATTTTCTAACCTTAAGACGCTAAGAATGAAATGTTGTTGTAAAATGAAATGTTTACGTTGAATTGACCCTTTGCAAACCCACTTTACACTGTCCGACAAGCTTTCAGTATCAACCATAGTGCTCTCCTATCTTATCTTTTGTGCTACCCAGCAAAATAGTGAATAATTTCTGAAAAATTAATAGCCTACTGATTTCATTCATAAAGAAGCATGCATAAGAGGGATATATTCAGATTTGTAATAACTCATAACTTGTAAAAAAAATTAAATAAAAAAAAAAGTGACACCTACAAGTCTAGTAATGAGAAGTTTGGATCATTTGAATATAATTAAAATGTTACATATTGATTTCCACATAAATCACAAACAGACGCAAGCAGGGTCATCTCAAACAAGACATAACAATAATGCATCTATGAAATTATAAAAGACAGTAAAAACTAATTCATTGTTTATCTGGGTCTCTCTAGACTGTGCAGTTTAAGTTACCTCACCTGTCATCTTCTGAGTTTTGTAGGGCTGTGTCGGTGTCTGTTGATTCGTCCTACCTTGTCAGATTTTCCTATCTCCCATTCAAAAACTAGGTAGCATATTTTGATGACAAAATATGTTACCCATCAGAACGGTGTCATATGTGGCTGTAGTATTCACCTAATCTACCCCAGCTTCAGAAGCACTCTAATGCATTGTTGCTAACAAAATCTGAGGGGTATATTGAAATGTCAGGACACCGGTCTAATGGACCTTTTTCACAACCCTGTTATGATGTGTTTTACGGTCATCAGCATCTTAAATCCTTGAAAGTTTTTAATATTTAGATTTTTTTTAAACGTATAAACATGCATATGTATTTGTGCATTATATCATCTTTACTTCAAATTACAAAAAACGAATTACACTTGAGGTGTTTCTAATGCCGCGTCCATTGCACAGTAAATTTGACGTTATTCTCTCCTCTGGCTGCGGTTAATAGTGTGAGACAGTCTTGTTCCTTTTTCTGAAAGTCTTCATAACATCATCAGGGAGTTTTTCTTTTATCATTTCAGCAAATAGGGTTCTAAAAATATATATATTTGTTGTATTGTTCCATTCATTTTACAGTTTTCCTAACTATTTTGACTTCCGCTACTGAGAAACCTGGAAATGTGAAAAGGTTCTATATCAGAAAAGATTAGTCTTGAGATCTTGAGTTTCGAGTCATTTGTTCAGCGGATGATATCACCACTGATCGACACTTGCCACAGAATATTAGCATTATGATTGGCCGAATCACTTGTCAATCTACTTGCAAAGGGTCGGTTGCATTATCATGCTGATGTATTGTCATCTTATTATCAGTGGAAGAAAAAAATTGGCAATAACATCACTTATCTTGATATTTTCTATGACAATATATAGCACAACAAAAAGTATTTATTGTGACTAGCCTAGTATGAGTTTTTCATTTTAGATGTCCAAATTCTCTTAAATATTAAGATCTTATTTAAGTTAAACTTCAAATAGGACTAAGCAGTGATCTTGGATTTTAGGAAAAGGTTGTTCTCTAATTGTGATTTCCATTGTGTATATATATATTATATTGGCAACACGGTTTTGCAGTAGGCAGCATGATCACCTCACAGCAAGAAGGTCGCTGATTCGAGCCCTGGCTGTGTCAGTTGGCATTTCTGTGTGGAGTTTGCTTGTTTTCAATGTGGTGACTCTTAATGAATAAAGGGACTAAGCCAAAAAGAAAATGAATGAATACATTATATTAATAACAATCCCAGTAATGCTACACTTTAATCATTTTATCCTTCTGTAGGCTGAACGTGAAGAGTGGCAGCAATTTCAGGCAGACCTGAAAGTGGCACTAGTTGTTTCAGACAGACTGAGAGCAGAAGCCGAGGAGGAGCTGAATACTTTAAGAGCAGCAAGGCAGGACCTGGGCACACAGTTAGCCGATTCCTTGCAGGGTCGCAGAGAAGTCGAAGGTCAACTGGAGAGCCTCAGAACAGAGTTGGAGAAGAGCAAGCAGAAAATGAAGCAGGTCAATGGTAGCCACCAGGGGGCGGCGACACTGAGGGGCCTGGAGAGAAGAGTGGAGGGTTCAGGAAAGAGCACTGGACACATAGAGCAACTGTGGACGAATGAGATGAAGGGGAAAAGAGAAATCTCTGGCAACACAGAGAGGTCAAGATGAGTAGTATTTATATCAAAAATGTCTGAAAATGAATTTTAAACACAAATGCTTAAATTTGTAGATTTTCAAATAAATTAATATAGACATTTGAGCATTGAAAAGTTCCAGAACTCAAAAAGAAGTTATGTTTCTGAAATCCTTCAAATGCCAAGATTGTAGTCCTTCTAACTAAATAAACATCACAATATTTTAAATTTAAGTGAAGTTTATTTATAAACCAATTTCGAGAGGAGCATGCGCTTATGATTCATAGCAGCTGGTCCTCATTAGCCAACACTGATTCACCAATCAGACGATTTCTTAATCACTATAAATAATCAGAGTATCTTACCTTAGCCATCTTTGTCTTGAAGAATCCCCCCTTCCACCCCTACTCCTCCAATTTCTTTGTCACGGAAGTACGGAGGCCTAATGGTTAGCATCATTGCCTCACAGCAATGAATGTCACTGGCTCAGATACTACCTGGTCAAGTCAGCATCTCTGTGTGGAGTTTGCATGTTCTCCCCGTGTTTGCATGGGTTTTTCCCGGGCCCTCCGGTTTCCTCCCACAGACCAAAAACATGTAACATGAGTAAATTGACTAAACTAAATTGACATCATAGACACTCTATAGCATTCATAATCTACTTCCACCATTATCAAGCAGGGGGGGTTCTCGAGACCCACCTGAACTATTCCCTACTCTATTTTTTTTTTTTAAGATTTATTTTTGGAGTTTTTGCCTTTATTAGATAGAACAGTATTTAGACAGGAAGCAAGGTTGGAGAGAGAGGGGGGAGGGTAAGCAAATGTCCTTGAGCCAGGATTCAAACTCGAGATGCCCTGATGAGCTACTGCACCATATGTCAGCGTGCTAACCACTAGGCTAATGCGCCGACGAAGGCCAAATTCCTGAAAGGAATACTCATTTAACTCTCCCAGAGTTAAACAGTTGGGTTTTACCATATTTAAATTCATTCATCTGCTGACTGGACACTATTTTTGTCACTGCGTAATATCATTGTAACTACTGCAGCCATGTCAGTGCATCTAAATTCTTTGCAGCGTCGGCATCTACTTTGCATCTTTGCTTAGAAAACTATTTAGCAGAGGTTTAAACTGACAAGGCTTTAAAACACATTCAGATGTTTTATTTGTTGTTGCCAGAGTATCTGAGGCACAAGCTGTAAATGCACCAGAGATTTGCATTTAAAGAGACATAAATGAAAACAATATGTTTTTATTTTAAAACAAAAAAAGGGGCATCCATAGCATATAATCAAAGATCTGTGAGATATTTTGAGTTAAAACAATTGACACCTTTGGGCATCTACAGTATTCTTGATCAACTGTGAAATCAAAGAATCGAATTGGATCGAGTCTGATTTATGCTCATCTGTTCATCCAGTGAGTTCCATCAATAAACTGATGCATTGTGAATCAGTTGTGTGATCCCAGCTGCAGACATTTCTGATTTGTCAAACAGAGATCATTGTTTAGTGATTGTAAATGATTCATTGTTTACAGCCCACAGTCTGTGAAAGAGACAGTGTGACCTATGATAAGTTTATGGACTGTTCCATCATTTTGTAGGAGCCTGTGCAGACTTCCATCAGATTACACTGATGCTGTTGTAAATGGTTCCTCCCAACCCTCCATCACTACCACAATAGAATCTGTGAGAAGAAAACTTTAAAATTTCATGTTTGTATTGTTTATTATTAACACATCTAAAATATTTATCAGTACATTTCTATCTAAAATTTTCAGACTCCTCAGAGTAAAACTCCAGCAGGAAGTTTAGACCAGCAGAACAACATGACCAACTCCATTAAAGGTGCGTAAACTGGGGTTTCGTTTACAAAATTATTCTGATTCCTGATTTTATTGCACAATTTTTCATATCCTGTCATACCAGTCTCATACCGACTCAAATGATTTATTATCTATGCATGTCTCTACATGTCCAATAGACAAGAAAGTGGAGAATTCACTCCCACAAACAGGCACCTCTTCAGTTTTAGATGTAACAAATAAAGTCAGCAGGATGAGGTGAATCAAACATAAACATTTGCTTATTAGAAACACTATAATGATAGATGAGGAATGCAAAAATGACTTTGATCTTGCTTCCCATCAGGATGCAGGAGGATTTCCCATCAGGACTCAGGTCGCTGAGGCTTCATGGAGGCTCCAGGCGGAACTCCCTGCTTCGCTGGTGCCAATGCAGAACTCAGGGCTACAAGGTATTCAAGAGAACCAAACCAAGCTAGACAGATCAAACTTGGCAGTCGGCCATACACCCCCTTGTCTCCGCTTCAGAAAGCACGGACCACCCACAGTCCTTTCACTGACCGTCTGTAAAGCACTTTCCCGAGCTGGGAAGTTCTTGGGATTTATCATTCTGCCTGCTAGAGGAAGCCTGGAAATCATGTTTACTGGGCTGAAACAATAAACAGTTTTAAAAATGAAAAGTTGTGGGATTTCCCAGTTCAGTTTTGGTTTTGTTTTAGTTACTCGCTAGCTAGTACACTACCATTCAATAGTATTTGGTATGGGTTATATGATGCTTTTAAAGAACCAAATACAATGATGCAATTAATAACAATTAATATGAGATTTCTTTTAAACAAGAAAAACAAAACAATATAATAAACATTTACGATGATTTACAGAAGACACCCACATACACAATTGAAGTAGAATTATTAAACCCCCTGAATTATTAGCTCCCCCTGTTTATTTTTTGGCCCAATTTCTGTTTAACAGAGAGAAGATTTTACCTGCACATTTCTAAACACAATAGTTTTAATAACTCATTTCTAATAGCTGATTTATTTTATGTTTGCCATGAAGACAGTAAATAATATTTGACTAAATATTTTTCAAGACACTTCTATACAGCTTAAAGTGACATTTAAAGACTTAACTAGGTTAATTAAGTTAACTAGGCAGGTTAGGGTAATTAGGCAAGTTATCGTATAACGGTGGTTTGTTCTGTAGATTATCGAAAAGAAAATCTACCTTAAAGGGGTAATAATTTTGGCTGTAAAATGTTTTTTAAAAAATTAAAAGCTGCTTTTATTCTAGCCAAAATAAAACAAATAAGACTTTCTCCAGAAGAAACAATATTATCAGACATACTGTGAAAATTTCCTTGCTCTGTTAAACATCAGTTGGTAAATATTTAAAAATAAAAGATAAATAAAAGGGGAGCTAATAATTTGGATATAATGCCTATATCCAAAATTTCAGATCAGACTCATTATCTTAAACATGCAATGTCGTGTGGGTTTCCTTCGGGTTTCCTCCACAGTCCAAATACATGTGCTAATGGTGAATTGAATAAACTAAATTGGTCGTAGTGTGTGTGTGTGTGTGTGTGTGTGTGTGTGTGTGTGTGTGTGTGTGTGTGTGTGTGTGTGTGTGAATGGGAGTGTATGGCTGTTTCTCAGTGTTAGGTTGCAGCTGGAAGGGCATCCGCTGTGTAAAACATATGCTGGATAAGTTGGTGGTTCATTCCGCTGTGGCGACCCCTGATTAATAAAGGGACTAAGCCGAAAAGAAAATGAATGAATGAATGCTGAATGGTGGTAGAACATAGTACATCACCCGTCTTTAGATTTTTTTTTCACATAAGTTATTAAAAACACTGCATTTTATGTCTACAGTTCACTTTTGTTAATTAAATATAAGCATACGCAGATGTTATTGTGATGACAAAACTATTTCAGACAAAACCAAGCAGCATGTATAGACAAAACTAACTGTGTTTGGTCTATTTATTTGTGAGTAAAAGTGAGAAAAAAATGCAGTAAAATTTGGTCTGATTTGTCCATCTCTAACTATATTGTGTCCTATTTTACAGAATATTGAAATCACCAATTTCAGCAGTTGCTGGGTGGACGGTTTGGCATTTTGTGCCATTTACCACAGTTACCTCCCCTCTCACATACCATATAACAGACTCAGCCCAGAGAACAAGGTAGCACTCACATCATACATACCTTTACATTAGGCCTGCACAATATACCGTTTCAGCATGGATATCGCAATTTGATCATTGGCAACATTGAGTCTGGATTCAAATTATATAATACAATAAAATATATATTATAATAAGATTATAAACGTGTTTTTGAGGCCTGTGACTGTGTAAAGGATTTAAAACTAGGGAAATTGTACCGAATTGAATTGTTTATAAAACGAATACTATGCAGTATTGTTTTACATTTGATTATTCAACTAATGTATGTACCTCAATACAGTTCGACCCCTCGGAAAAAAATCAAATGCTGTTTGTTTAATTAATTTAATTTAGATTTCTTATATGTTATGCATATAAACTTCCATACAGAATCATATCAATCAATCTAAAATAATAATTGTTTTCCAAATTCAACTCATCTAGTTCAATTGTATTCGTATCACAATATATATATATAGCAGGAAAAAAAGCAAAGTTAAATTTTTCTAGTTTTGTGCAGCCCTACTTTAAATGCAAGCATATTAAGGTAAGGATTGTTATAATGATGCTGACAATTTAATCCACAGAAAGAAAACCTCACTCTAGCGTTCCAGACTGGAGAAGGATTTGGAATCTCAACATCACTGGTGCGTCAACTTGAGTTCCTCATAAGCAGTTGCGTTTCATTTCAATAACTCATTCTTATAATTACCATGCACTGATTCATTCATCCCCAAACTAATCAACCGATGCATGATTAATTAGTTCCAGCTTGAATAATACACTTTCAAACAGATATTGGTATTTACTTCAGACAAGCATGCCAGATGTTAAAATGAGCTAATCGTGACTGATAGTGATGGATTTAGATACGCATATGGAGTTTGCTCAAGTGTTAAAGCTGAACATGAAAATGAAACAATCATGAGTGCTGTTTTATTGTGATTTCTCAGACGGTGGAGGAGATGCTGAAAGACGATGCACCAGATTGGCACAGAGTTCTGGAATATGTAGAGAGCATCTACCGCCATTTTGAGATGTGAGACTCTGGAGATTTACACATCTGGATTATTTACGATGATCACGAATGATTATGACCATGGGAAGCGTACCTGTTTGAAAAGGATCAGATTTTAAATTACTCAGAGGACAGTATTGTTAAGAGCTGGTTAGCATGACACGCTAACTGTGCCATATATTCTGATTTCTTGCAAGCAACAAATGAGTTGCTCGTTTCACTTTATTATATTGAAGTGCACTTAAAAGTGGACTAAAGACTTTGTGACTGTGCTTTCTTGATGCACCATTAGTCAATCAGCATTTACAGTTCAAGTGATTACACCAGAAAATGTGTGCTTTGAACTGAGAGCACAAAAAAAAGAAGAAAACAGATAAAGCAGAGACGTAGGCTACCGGAGTGATTGTTGCTCGCCTTCTTTGAGTATTAAAGACCTGAAGAATTCCTGAAGAAGATCATTGTCTTTGAATTGGTAGAGTTCGTCAAAACTTTTTATTGCTGCTTTCTGCCCTCTGTTGGTCTTCTTGCGGGATTGCAGGTTTCGTTTTTCCTTTTGTTTCTTTCATTCGTGTTCATAAACGAGTAGATTTACTACAGTGTGAATCACAGAAATCAGTATGTCTGCCATGTTTTATTTACCCCGGTTGGTAATGCAGCTCTAACATCCTGGGTAGTTTTTGTTGTTGTTTTTTTTTATGTGTTCCAACTCTGATACCCTGACCATATCCTTCGTGTAAAGTATTTGAAAATAAATTTTCAAATACAAAAAAGCATTTGATAATTTGATAATTTTATTTATAGTTTTTTACTATTGTTTTTTTTTTCTTGCTTATGTTTGGCCAATGTGAAAATAATAGACTGCGGGTGAAAGACATTTTTAGTGACAGCATAAAATTACTCTGGTAAAGAAACACGTTTGTTTTCATAACGTGTACTGAAATGGCAATTTTTAACTAAGTCAAATACGCTGATTTGATGGCTATGGTGACTTCCTGTTTTGAAATAACTTAATAAGCCAGCTGACTGGCATATGATAGTTAAAACAAACGTCAAACTGTAGGCTGTGGAAGGAAAATATTTCTCCTGTCCTGTCAGGAAGACATTTTTTCAAAATAAAAGTCATCGTGGGAAATACTGACTAGTGGTGAGAACGTTTAATTTGGTCATAAAACTTTACATGTAAATGATGACGAAAACTATATTTTTCACTAATACTTTTTAAGTCTTTGCTTGTATTTACATTTGCCTACAGGAAATGAGCAAATAGCATTCATGGGTGTGTAAACTCGGTTCTTTAGGCCTTAGTTAAATTTAGGGGTATTTAGCATTTTGAAACAAAACTTTATCTTACTGCAAGTCTTGTTAGCTGCCAAGCAGGTGTGTGAAGGCAAGTACACTCTGAAGGACAGTGGCCCTCCAGCACCATGTTTGGACTTTCATTAATCTGGGTTCGCCACAGCGAAATGAATCGCCAATCCAGCAAATCCTTCCAGCTGCATCCCATCACTGGGAAACACACATACACTTCTATTCACACACATACACTATGGACAATTTAGCTTACCCAATTCACCTGACTATGGCGCATGTCTTTGGACTGTGGGGGAAACCGAAGCACTCAGAGGAAACCCATGCGAACACGAGGAGAACATGCAAACTCCACACAGAAATGCCAACTGACCGAGCTGAGGCTCAAACCAGCGACCTTCTTGCTGTGAGGTGATCATGCCGCCAACTGCTCCACCATGCTGCCTCCTAAAAGCATGTTTTATACATTAAACAGCATAAAACATTAGAATCTTAGATTCATTTGAGGGCATTTTTTCAGTTTTAGTTTAATGAACACAACCCTCATACATGAATTGAACTCTTGTGATATATCAATTAATTAAAGAAAGAAAAAAAGAGATGTATGGATAGATGGAATTTACCAACACTTAAAGACTTTTAATTTGGAAGTGAATCATACAGGCTTTTCTTGGCTTCACACTCTTCTACGTGTCAATGAAACCAGGAAGCGCGAATGAATAAACCGAGTAGTAAACTGTTCGTCTGTTTGTCAGTGAACCTCCTGTCAGTCGCGGGTCCCCGAAACTCTCCTGATCCGCTTTAATCAACACGGTGAGTGTGAACTTCACAACCTGACACACACACACACTGTCTGTTCTGACAGCTCACAACTGCTTTGTTCAGTCAGGTGACTTTTAAAGTTACTGAAATCAGTGTATGCATACACTCGTAGTCCAATTGATTTGATCAAATTGTATCGTAATTTGGAGGTTTTTAAGGATGTAGTTTGTGTGTGATTAACACTGTGGTGTGACGATCATTAAGACAAAATAACTAAAGGTGAATAGGGTAAAAAGTTAAACTATGGTTAACTTTAGCATTATACTTTATATATTATATCAAATTTCTGTCCATTTTTCTTTATTTCTTTGACAGTGTCAAATGTTTTATGCAGGGGGCATTGAGATCTCTTTTCTTCTTTACAAAATATAGAAAATACTGTGAACAGCCAGAAAATAAGACAATATTCACAATATTTGTAGGGGAAATAGTTGTAGTATATAGGAAACAGTATATAGTTAGGCAAAATATCTATGAACAAATCCCACAAAAACCTTCAGAACATATAGACGTGATTTAAACTGTGAAGTATGTAAGAGCTGCAGAAGTTTAGATTTACGGTTCACATTGAGAAAACAGCCTTTAAAATATGCATTGCAACTGAAATCTACAGACACAAACTGATAAAGTGCAACCAAAGTAACACATAAAAGTGCATTTTGGATGTTTTCTTTACATAACACTAAAAAAAAAACACTTAATGTAAAGCCATGAAGGCCAAAATCCTAAAGCTAAGAGTGTTTTTGTTTGGCATGTCTCACTGTATGAATGAAAGAGCTCCATTGATCCAGGATACTGCAGGTGACGGTAAAGCCACGTAGTGCACACATAGTAGTACAGGTTGAGTAAGAAAATGACACACCCACATACTTGTTAACAATGATCCGGTAACTACAGTAATTCACCTTTGTGTGTTTGTGCTGAAGGCTCTCAACATGCGTCAAAAGATCTTGGTGACTGGAGGAGGAGGATACATCGGCAGCCACTGTGTTGTGGAGCTCATAGAGGCTGGTTTTCATCCTGTGGTCATTGATAACTTCAGTAATGCTGTCAGAGGTGAGCAGACTTCAGAGAAATCACAATACTTTATATAAAGAGCTTCAGAAATATCCTGCAAACACAGTCAGGCCTTGTGTGGTAATCGACAGTCTGAGTAAAACTTAAAGTAAAATAAAAATATTTTTATAATATGGGATATTCAACATAATATACATTTTATTTTCTAATATAAAATGAATTAAAATGTTTTACTTTTAAAAGTTAAATATATAAAAATATTAATAATCTGTAATAAAACTGCTGCTTAATTTAGTAACAGATTTGTTGTCCTAGCAGATAATGAAGTGTGTGTGTTCTGTGTGTTTTGTTGAGGAGAGGGGGATGTACCTGAGAGCTTGCGGAGGATAGAGAAGTTTATGGATACTCAGATTGAGTTCCATGAGCTCGACCTCCTGGATAAACCTGGACTGGAAAAAATATTCAAAATGGTAAAATTGTAATATATTTTATAGTTTTGTAATATTTTTGTATTTTAAGTATTTAAAACAAAAATATTTTATAATAATAATTATTATTATTATTATTATTATTATTATTAATTATTATTATTATTAATTATTATTATTAATTATTATTATTATATAATGTAAATATCACATATATAAATATTTCATTTGTTCTATAATTTGTTATAAATTAGGGTTAGTATTGTTATAAGTAGTAGTAGTAGTAGTATTGTTATTATAATTAGTGGTATTATTAGTATTATTAGTATTATTATTATTATTATGAATATTCAGCCACAATGTGTCTGGCTTAAAAATGAATTTTTTTTCCTTCGGATTAGTGCCTTTATTAATCAGGGGTTACCACAGCGGAATGAACCACCAACTTATACAGAATATGTTTTACACAGCTGATGCCCTTACAGCCACAACCTAGCACTGGGAAACACCCATACACTGGCATTCACGCACATACACTACAGCCAATTCAGCTTATTCATTTCACCTGTACCACATCTCTTTGGACTGTGAAGGAAACCGGAGCAGCTGGAGAAAACCCACCCCAACACGGGGAGAACATGCAAACTCCACACAGAAATGCCAACTGACCTAGCCAGGGCTCAAACCAGCAACCTTCATGCCTTTAGGTGACAGTGCTAACCACTGAGCCACCGTGCCACCCTTGGCTTTTTTTTTTTAAAGTGTTTTTATAAAGTTTTTATTTTAAGTATTTAAAAGAAATGCATATTATTATGGTTTGGGACTTGTAGAGCTGCGTATCGATGGATTACTCCTCAGTGTTTGGACTCTCAGCAGTGAATATTAAACCACAATGAACTGAACTATACATATAAAGATGAATTGGTAACACTTTACAATAAGGTTCATTAGTTAATGCAATTACTAACATGAACTAATCATGAACAACACATGTACAGCATTTGTTAATCATAATTAAACATTTACTAATACATTATTAACATCCAACTCCATGCTTGATAACAATAGTTAATGTACTGTGAGTTAACATGAACTAACAATGAACTACTGTATTTTCATTAACTAACGTTAACTAACATGAACAAATACAGTTGTAAATGTATTGTTCATTGTTTGTTCATGTTAGTAAATGGATTAATTAACATTATCTAATGAACCTTATTGTAAAGTGTGACCGATGAATCAATTGAATTTAAAAACAATTATTCTTAATGTTTTAATAGATTTTAAGTATCTATTATATATATATATATATATATATATATATATATATATATATATATATATATATATATATATATATCTTTTTAATTATTCAGCAGCAACATGCCCTATGATTTAGTTTTTATTATTTTATTATTATGTTTTATCATTTACCCTTAACATGGGTATGTAATTATATAAACAAATACCTTTAATTATATAAAATGTGTTACATATTTTAATTATTCTACATATTCTTATATATTTTCATATACTATAATCTACTTTTGTTTAGTCACTATATGTCTTATTCTATTTTTGCTTTACGTAATATAAAGTATATAATGTTTTTGTATTTCATCCTATTATATATTTTTTCATTCTGCCTCATTATCTCTGCTGGTGTATGTTTGTAACTTGTTTTTAATTTTTTAACTTCCTTCAGATCAATTTAGTCATTTCTAAACCAACCTTTCAAATAATGTTTACAGCACACTCTAGTGGTCATATATATTGATCGTTTTCTCTCGTCTCTCTCTCTGTCCAGCACTCTTTCTATGCAGTGATGCACTTTGCAGGTCTGAAAGCTGTGGGTGAATCAGTAGAACAGCCTCTGCGGTACTACAGAGTCAATCTCACAGGAACCATCAATCTGCTGGAGGTGAGAAATCTGACTCTTTGCATGGATTTTTGTGTTTTTACGAATGGAGTGTCCAAATGAATCTGATTGTTGAAATGCAGATACAGTCCAGTTTACAATCTGTGTATGCATGTTAGTGCTTTTGGCTTTAAAGGAATGCCTTACTGGCTGTGGCCCTGTCTGTGTATGTGTGGATCAGGTGATGCAGTCTCATGGGGTGCGTAATCTGGTGTTCAGCAGCTCCGCCACAGTCTACGGAGACCCTCAAAAACTCCCCATTGATGAGCAGCATCCAGTAGGCGGCTGCACAAACCCCTACGGCAAGACCAAATACTTCATAGAGGAGATGATCAGAGACCAGTGCACAGCGGAGAAGGTAGACGAACACCTATCCATTATGTATTGAGACAAACAGTCTCTTTTCATAAGCACCAGACTTTTTACTTACTTACTTTTACTTGCTTTACTTTTACTTACTTTAACTCCACCTCCCAAGGACTCAATAAGCAAAACTATCTTTACTTGTGAATGTACCACAAATCATGTTGCAATGCTATTTTTTTCTAACTTAAATACCTCTGTTGCACAGTATCGTGCATGATATTGTCATGTCTTATGTAAAAGTGTATTTATTATTGTATAGTCTGTCTCAGGCCCCAT